AAATCACTGAACCTGGGATATCAAAAGAAACCAAAAAGCTGATGGAGGAGAACCAGCGATTCAAGGAAACGATGGAGACGTTGGTTAAGGCAGGCAGAGAACAACTAGAAGTCATATCGAAATTAACCAGTCGGGTCAAAAGCCTTGAGAAGAAACTGTCACATAAGAAAAAGACACAGATCAGACGTCGTGCAAGCAAACCAATGTCCGTAAGTCCAACCGATGCCGTATTATGACCCCCATAAACATTGATATGTCTCAATTCCTCATATATTGTATCCATCTCCATCCTATTGAGTACAGAAAAGAGAACGAGAACTCAAAAATTGTCTTAACGAAAATCCAAATATTTGCCTCTCTGTTTTCTTCGACGTTCATGGATAACCTCCTTAAACGACCCATTCGCTCTGACAGATTCGACTAAATTTTGTGTCAAGGCCCAATATATAACTATATAAGGCCCATACAATGATCAACCCATTAGTTATTTCAAATGTTTTTATTATTTATTTCAAATTTTTGCTATAGGTGTAAATTTCATGTATTATTACTTTAATTACATTTAAAATTTGTATCTTTCAAATTTGTTATGGGAGAAAGAAAGAGAATGATTGTGTGGTTTGTGCGGACATAGTGATCCTTTTCATGCCATAACTCACTCTTCGTTTTCTTCTTTCTCATCGTCACGTTAGGTTGTCTCTGAGCCGCCAAATATTCATCTCTTGTGGTCCCGTTCACGTCCCAACGCCATTTACACTCATCTCCGTAACCTCTCTCTTATGTGCTTTCTCATTACAAACAACTAAAATTCTCAAAGATTAACATGTGCAAGAGAAATAACAAGTAATGATATGATCTCATTCTCACCTAATCTATGGTTGAAAAAAAGGAAATGGTGTCAGTATTAGTCATAATAAAGCCTTGGAGTTGTAGACTATAGCATGAAAGGACCAGGAATCTTCAAGCATGGTTATTTTCTGATACGAATGATTTATATTTTAATCGTTTATTAACACCCATTTAACCTCATAATGACTCTATTAGCCTACTCTCAATCCCCAAATTTACTAGCATAATTAACTAATTCAAGGGATTATCCTTCACCCACTTGTGTGCATCCATCAAAAGTTAATTTCTTATCTTAGAAATACATTTCATCTAAACCAAACAAATGATATACACTCTCATTTCTATTCATTAGTGTCATTTCTACAATTGTAGCAGTATGTTAACTACTGTAACTATTGTGATCCAAATATACAGTAAAAGGTTGCACCTCTACTGTAACTATTTTAACAAGTTCGCAAAATGTACATAGGAGAAATAGGTTGATTTCCATGGAGAAAAGAAAATAGTAAAAGGTGAAAAAGGTTCACTCACACGCATCCTCTGTCTCTGAGAGATATATTTCCCCTTGCAGTAAATAAAAATCTATGGCTTTGTTGGGAAGAAGAAAAAGTCAGAGTAAACTCGTAATCTTTGTCGGGAGAGAGTAACAGGCTTTTGATGTTGTAACATTATACTACTATTGTTTTAAAAAGCAAAGAATTGTAGTAGTAAGAATTACAATCATACTTAACAACAAATCACGTTTTTTGGGTTTTTGTATAAATAAATGATAAAGCAAGATGGACAAATTTTAAGGATAAGCCATTAATAAGTGATCTGTGAATTTTTAAGGAAAAGACGAAAGAAACAGAGAGAGTCGAGACACAACTGTCTCCAAGAAGACAACCTTCCACAGCTTAAGGGAAACAGAGGTGAAAACAGAGCGAGTAAAGAGATGGAGAGAGAGTGTGAAGAAGGAGAAATGGAGAAAAAGCTGAGACGAAGTTTCATGGGCTATACTAGGAGAGCTGGTCCTTCCACTCCTCCACCCACCTGGCGGCTCGAGTTTTCGCCGCCGCGAGTCGGAGCGACCAAGGAGTTTTTGGCGAATTCGGAGGACTCTGTCCGGAAATTGTGTGCTGATTTGTGGGAAACTGAACAATTCCGGCAAAGAATTGAGCTGCGACGGTGTCGACGAAGGGATTCAGATGTGGAATCGCATTCCCGTAGCCCGCTTCACGATCATGTAAACAATTTTGGCGCTTTTGATTTGCTTGAATGTTTTTGACGGGTTTATGTAGGGTTTTAGTCTTCTTGTTTTGATAGGTCGTAAAGTTGTGATCTTTACGGTGAGGTTAGAGTATATTCAACCGGAAAAAATCTCATTTTTGCGCAAATTCCACCGAGAAAATCTCAAAGTATTGTTCTTTATGATGTGGTCTTTTGCTCGTCTATGCACAAATTTCATTGGACAAATCTCATGGTCGTAAAGTTGGCTCGTAAGTGTGTTTAGTATTTATATATGAGTTTTAATTTGCAGCCACCAAGCAGAGCTAGCTTGAGGAGGCAAATTGCAGCAACTGATGATTATAGAAATGGTGATCTGTTGCAACCTATCTCTCCTGCAAGTTGCAGCAGCAGCAGCAGTTCATTGCAGGTGAAGAAAACAAAGTTTTTTGCTCTTTGTTCACTCTTAAATTTAACCAAGGAATGCTTTTTAACAATCTTGTTTTGAGCTGGATTTGGTGTGTGTTGGCTTAATGTGCTTGTAGGTTGTGGTGCGTAAGCCAGCGTTTAGTCAGACAGGTTCTTCGGCGGTTAAGTCTGCAAGCTATGGTTTGGGTTCCTCTACTAAGCTTCTCAAGGTGCTAAACCGGATATGGAGTCTCGAAGAACAGAATACTGCTAATATGTCTTTGGTTAGAGCTTTAAAGATGGAGTTGGATGAATGTAGAGCCGAGATTAAGGAGGTTCAGCAACGGAAGAAGCTAAGCGATAGGCCACTGAGGAAGAAAAAAGAAGAAGAAGAGGTAAAAGATGTGTTTCGATCCATAAAGAGGGAGTTAGATGATGAGAGAAAAGTTAGAAAGGAGTCAGAGACTTTGCACCGGAAGCTAACACGAGAGCTTTGTGAAGCGAAGCATTGTTTGTCCAAAGCTTTGAAAGACCTTGAAAAGGAGACACAGGAACGTGTTGTTGTGGAAAATCTCTGCGATGAGTTTGCAAAAGCGGTGAAAGATTATGAAGATAAGGTGAGAAGAATTGGCAAAAAGTCACCGGTGAGTGATAAAGTAATTGTGCAGATTGCAGAAGTGTGGAGTGACCAGAGATTACAAATGAAGCTAGAGGAAGATGATAAAACATTTCTTCTGCGAGCTAAGGAGAAGAGTAGATCACAGTCAAGTAAAGGAAGTGGCTTGAGAGCAAAACCAGATGATTCGGTATCTATGCATCAAAGGGTTTGCCTGAAGGAACTCGAAGAAGGGCTTGAAAAGCGAACAAGAAGAGATAACAAACTGCAGCTTAAGAAGAGCTCAGGCCAAGTTCTTAATCTATCTATGTCTTCGGAAGGAGATAAGATTCATCCAGAGAGTAGTCCAAGGAACGTTGATGATCATGAGAGTCAAGAAAAGTCTAGAACTTTCTCGAAGAATCATCCGAGAAATGTGAATGTGATGATCAGGGAAGATAATCATCGTACTCTCAAGGATAAGCTGATGGAAGCTCGTGTAGAAAGTCGACGTTTACGTTCTTCTTTGAAACCAGAGTGATAATTCCGGTTCGAGCAAATAATTAACTCGTGTCTTCTCATGTATGTTGGATTAATTATTTGGTTGTGGTTAATATTAATGCTCGTTAGTCGTTAAAAAAACTAAATATTTTAATTGTCCCAGTGACAGAAACCAATTTCACATGAAAAAAGGAAAAAGCTAATTTTGTCAACAGTTCACATATATTGACATTGAACACAACTCCGGTCAACTATTTTTGGCAGTTGTAATTAAGAACAAAAAGATGTAACTTAAAGAAGAGACAATTTAACCGATTAGTTCAAATCTTTGGTCATCAAAAATTCCACAAGTTTTAAGAAGACTGATTGGTGATTAATAAACGTTAAAAAAAAAAAAAAAGCCAAGTCAAAGATGTGTCGGTAATAGCGATTGACCAAACTCTATCTGCTTTAGAGCATTATTAATGGTAGTTTCTTAGTATAATCTTAATATAGTTTTTATGAATATTTTTATAATTGATTTTAAAAATTCTGAAGTTAAGAATTTGGTTAAAAGATTGAAATTTAGGCAATATGCAATGGTGGAATCTTAACTTGGAGTTCTTAAAAAGAAAATTTGAAAAAAAAAATAGAAACATTATAATTTTAAAAAACTTAATAGTTATTACAACTCATAAAATTTAAAACATATATGACATAAAATTTTAAACAAATATGACAAACAATTATATTTAATACTTAAGTTATCTAAAAATTAAGATTAATTAAATTAAAATATTATATTTAAGACCTAAATTATCTAAGAATTAACTTAAGAAACATTAGATTTGGCTCTTATATAAGAGCTATTCTTAACAATTAATTGAATTATAACATTAAATTTAAGATCTACTTTATCTAAGAACTAACCTAAGAAACTATCAATAATGATGGTCTTACGAATGCCTAGATTCTCTTCAATATACAAAAAGTACGGTTTAGTTATTGTTTGGACATTTGAAATCTAACTAATTCTCTTTTTAGTCTTAATGCAATAGAATTGCAAATACTCCATAAACCATAGTGTTGCACCCTAACCGTATCTCTCTCTAAAAGAGAATCTAGTCAACAAGATTATGTTTAATCTCTAATTAATGACAATAAGATTTACTGCCAAAATAAATAAATAAATAATAATAATAAGATTTACTGCCATTTATTCTTCTATATTTTTCAATTTTTTATTTACACTTGTTCCATAATCGTCCCAAGGAGGAGACTAGGGTTGATGCTCTTTCATCTATAAAACGACTTAACACAACATGTTCTTTCACATCATCATCATAAGCCTCAACAATCCATCACCATACATATTAGATTCTCCCTCTTTCCATAGTTAATTTTTGGTTCGTTTTATTGTAAAAAGATATCAAACTCTTTTTGGGGGACATTCGTTCTTCAAGTGTAACAGAAGGAGCTCCCTTCCTCCAAAACGAAGAGGACAAGATTTGAGGAACTAAAATGCAGAATCTAAGAGTTCATGTCTTCCTCATAGAGAGTGCGCGGTGTTAAAAGCTTGAAGAAAGCACACTTTAAGGGGATTGCACGACCTCTTAGATTCTCCCTCTTTCTCTACATATCATTCTCTTCTCTTCGTTTGGATTGAAGGGAGCTCCTTTTCTTCTTCTCTTAATTAGTCTCTGTTCTTCAAAACTTGGTTTCGATCTAACTTGTTTTTTTTTTCTCTAGTGCATTTTTTTTTTTCAGGTTGTCATGTTTATTTGCAGGTGTTTGTGGTTGATGCTTGCATGGAAGCAATATTAATGTTGTTTATTTACGAGAAGACGTTCGTGTGCCAATTTGAAAATATGATATTAATGGAAATACAGATTAAAACTGACAAATGTATAAATATTTCTTGTTCCTTGTTTTAATTTTAACATTAGTCGTGTGTTTGTCGTAAATACGAAGGGGACATTTCACCTAAAAAAAAGAAAAAAATATATTCATCAAAACTGGTCTTGGATACGTTTTTAGTTAAAACAAGAACAATAATAAAGTTAGGTTTAACTTCGATCAGATTGAAACAAGTACACTATAATTGTTTTGGTTTGAGAAAATATACCATCGATGGTTTCAAGAAATAATAGCAGCTGGGTTGCTTGTAGTCGATACGTTAAGTCGTATCATCTCAAATGATCCCTAGTAGTACACAACATAGTCAACTGGTTTGTCATGTGTTGGCCTACGAAGAAATGTATACCGGCCGGATTTCAATTTATAAATTAGTCCTTTTTTTTTTGTCAAGTTATCATTGCATAGCCAAGTTTCACTCGGTCAAAATCTAATTAACAAAGTCTGTAAAACGTTGAAGTAATTGTATTTTATTAAAAGAAAACTCCAAATTAGACTTTGATTCCAACGAATATTTAACGACATAAAAGGCATTGCCGTTTGTTGAACGAGTTGTCTTCTTACCAAATTTGACGCTTTCCAACTAAATACACTCCTAATTTTGCCTATTACCTTTTTCCTCCTCTAATTAAGTAAAAGCTAAATTTCCCCCAAATACTAAAAATCGAATCCGATAAGTCAAAATCAAAATCGTACCTACGCGATTTATGCAAAATACCGGAAAAAGAACCAAAGTGCTTATTACAATCAAAAGACCAAACCGGTTAAACAATTAGTTAGGCTGGCATTAACGAACCTCTTTGTCTTTAATTAGCCTTTATCCGTCACCGCCCTGTTACCATAACCGTTCAACGTCGACCCGCTCTTTGTTTAAGAAAAAAAAAACAGAGAAAGACTTTTTTAGTGTTTCTTTGTCATTTTCGTTCCTCAAAAAAACCTTTTCGAATTTGACCCTTATTGTTATCCTGATTCTTCTGCTCGGTTCTCGCCGGAGAGAAGACACGGAGAAGAGGGTTTTCGAAAAGGAGGATGAGAGGTTCCAATAACACCGATCTATTTGACCCTAAGACGGAGATGGATTCCAATTTCTCTCGCCATGGTTCTTCCTCCGAAGGTGATTTTGGTTTCGCTTTCAATGACAGTAACTTCTCCGATCGTTTGCTCCGGATCGAGATCTTGGGTGGGCCTTCGGATTCTAGGTCTGATGCTGAAGGATGTACGAGTATTGCCGATTGGGCTCGTCATCGCAAGAGGAGAAGAGAGGACAACAAGAAGGACAATGGTGGTACGTTTGATTCCCTATCGGTTGGAATCTCAGATTTTGTTGTTGTTTTTATGAATTGTTCTTATGGTTGGTTTAGGGCTTTTGGGTTTAAATGTTTAAGAAACTTATACGTTTTGCATTTCCAGTTGCGATTTCAGACATTGTGGCATGTGCTGAAGAACAGATTTTAACCGATAACAACCAACCTGATATGGATGATGCTCCTGGTGGTGATAATCTTGACGATGAAGGAGAGGCAATGGTTGAAGAGGCTTTATCAGGTACCGTTCTAAATTTCACATTGTCTCTCGAGTGACTGGGTTTGAATTTGTGATACTTAACAATTTTCAGAAGAGCGTTTTTTGTTGAAGTCATTTGTCTGAAACGTGATGGCTTTGTTTATTAATGGTTTTTGTAGGTGATGATGATGCATCTAGTGAGCCAAACTGGGGTATTGATTGTTCTACTGTTGTTAGAGTTAAAGAACTGCATATTAGTTCTCCTATCTTGGCCGCAAAAAGCCCCTTTTTCTACAAGGTATTAACCTTTTTTCTTCTTCTATGTTCTTATTGTTTGCTCTTGTTCATCTCGCATGTAATGCTATCTTTTGCTTCTTGTTTTCCTTACCCTGTTGTAGCTGTTTTCTAATGGAATGAGGGAATCAGAACAAAGACATGTAACCCTTAGAATTAGTGCACAAGGTACGACAATTTAAGTCAAGCTTTTAATTCATTTCTGCTATTCTCCAATCTCTTTATATTGGCTTCAATTCTCTACTAGCTCTCTGTTGGCTTCTTCTTGTTTTGGATTCTTTATGCCTCTTGTATTAACTCAGTTGCTGACTTTGATTTACATATGATATACGATATTAGCTTTAAGGGAGTCCACATTGTTGATTTCTCATGCTCTACTTTTATGTGTATTGTAGAGGAAGGTGCTTTGATGGAGCTTTTAAATTTTATGTATAGCAACTCTCTAAGTGTCACAACAGCACCCGCTTTATTAGATGTTCTTATGGCTGCTGACAAGTTTGAGGTTGCTTCCTGTATGAGGTATTGTAGTAGACTACTGCGAAATATGCCCATGACCCCTGATTCTGCTTTGCTCTATCTTGAGCTGCCCTCTAGTGTTTTAATGGCTGAAGCAGTGCAACCTCTAACCGATGCAGCAAAGCAGTTCCTTGCCTCGCGCTACAAGGATATTACCAAGTAAGACTCTCCAGTGGTTTGAAATGCATTTACTCTAGTGTTGTATAATTCTTGTTCATGTGTTACCATCTTGTACAGGTTTCATGATGAGGTTATGGCCTTACCATTGGCTGGAATAGAGGCGATACTATCGAGCGATGATCTCCAAATTGCTTCTGAGGATGCTGTTTATGATTTTGTCTTGAAATGGGCAAGGGGACAGTATAGTTCATTGGAAGATCGTAGAGAGATTCTGGGTTCACGCCTTGCACTCTACATCCGCTTCCCATACATGACGTGTCGAAAGCTGAAAAAGGTACTAACGTGCAGTGATTTTGAGCATGAAGTAGCATCAAAGCAAGTATTAGAAGCGCTCTTCTTCAAAGCAGAAGCCCCACACAGGCAACGCATCCTCGCAGCTGAAGGATCGGACTCCATGAACCGCCGTTTCATAGAGAGGGCTTACAAATACAGACCCGTAAAAGTGGTGGAGTTTGAGCTTCCTCGCCCGCAATGTGTAGTGTACCTGGACTTGAAGCGAGAGGAATGCGCAGGACTATTCCCTTCAGGAAGAGTCTATTCTCAGGCTTTCCACTTAGGAGGTCAAGGTTTCTTCCTCTCAGCGCACTGCAACATGGACCAGCAAAGCTCGTTCCACTGCTTTGGGCTATTCCTCGGAATGCAAGAGAAAGGGGCTGTGAGTTTTGGTGTGGACTACGAATTTGCGGCAAGAGATAAAAGTACAAAGGAAGAATACGTAAGCAAATACAAAGGAAACTACACATTCACAGGGGGGAAAGCGGTTGGTTACAGAAACCTTTTCGGGATTCCATGGACTTCGTTCATAGCCGAGGACAGTCAACATTTCATCAATGGCATTCTCCATCTCAGAGCCGAGCTCACCATTAAACGTTCCTCAGACCTGCACTGACTGTTTTCTTCTCTCTCTCTCTCTCTATGTCGTCACATTTAAGTTGTATAATCTCGTTATGTAGCAGCTCTAACCACGAGTGTCCTTTGTACAATAATTGCCTAAGGAGCAAAAGTATGGCTTAAAGAGTACCTCATTCTGTAAATTCTTTGATTGGATTTTTTTACTTTTCTATATGGGTCTTTATAAATAGTCCAAGATAGAATTTGGGCCTAGCTTTTGAGGTTAGTCTTAAAATATGGGCTCAAGGCCTACTACGATGCGTAATGATGAAGCTAAATTGACTATAGTGTGAACATTAGGCTTTTATATTCAAAGTTCAAACAATGCGGCTATAGCAATGGTACATCGAGGAAATAGAATGAAGTGACAAGGATAATTTAGGAAATGAGGATAGAGGAATTGAGTCCTCGTCACATGGGGCCCACATAAATGCGTAAGTAAGACTATCCGCTTACCAGACGGACACGTCATTTTGTCGGGGACACGTTTGAGCCGTTGGATGATTAATCTCCTTTTCTGACTTATCGACCCCACTTTTTTTTTCCACTACAAAATATTGATGGCCACGTCAGATGATTCGAAGTTATATAAAACACACGTTTTTATTGCAGTTTAACCGTCGATTTTTTTCTAATCGAGAAACCGAGATCAACGGTCTATATTCAAAGCTGATGTGGTCTGTACCTTTGCTTACGTCACCGAAAACCTAAGTTGAATAATACTAGTACTAGTATTATGCTCTCTGATTTCTTTCTACAGTACACAAAATAAAAATAAACAAAAATAGAGAGCCCAGACAATATTTACTACATCACCCAATGGATAACCGACACGTAGATACATCCATGTGAGTCGCATTTTGTAATGTAGGGACCACTTCGTGGATAGAAGCTCTTTTACGCCAACGCAAAAAAAAAAAGCCTCGTTGGCCCTTTAGCCTCTAAATGCCAATAACTATCTACTGGCGTGGCTTAGTTTATACCGTTGGATCATTTGTTTATCCCAGCCGTTGGATTCGAAGCAGTTGTCGGGCTTGTGGGCCTTTTCTTTATTGTTTTCTTTTCATAATAATGAAAGAAAATAAACTAAAAAAGTATTTTTTATTTTTCCTTTTATGGTGATTCCATGATGGCAAAAACGTGGCCATACACGTGGGTCGTCTCGTGGCACCTTTGGAAGATATGAATCGGTAGTGAATAATGGACGGTTCGGATCTTTAGTTTTGTCGACAGAAGTGCTCTCCGCGTCGGAGATACTACTAGTCAAAGGTCTTTTCTTCCTTCGTATTTTACCACAATGTCCCTTCTTTCTAATCAAATTTTTATCATGTATCCAAATTATTCGAAGCAATATTCTATATAATAAACAAATATGCCCATCGGTAAGTAGC